AGCATGAGATAACGCAGTCACAGGCGCAAGCTGATAGCATTCTGTTCTTTGTAAGAAGCCACAAACTTCTTGTTCACAGTTAGGCTTATCTAGGCTTCCTGCAGCTGCTTCTTCCCACCCACACTGAGGCAAGCCAAAGGTGGTGCCCATATTTGATAATGAGCAACATGAATAGAGTAGATTGAACAATGTATTAGACACGTGTCAAACTTGCATAGATAGATTGTAAGCCAAGCCTCCAAAAGAGGGGCGGCAGCTAGGTATAAAACTGCTGTACTGAAACTTGATCGGGGCTCTTCGTATCCACGGGTACGAGGAGTCCGCCTTTGCAAACGCGCTGAATAAAAGGGTTATCCTTATACTGGAGTCTTAGTCCTTTGTCTCCACGAATAATATCTAACAATTCTTGGCGCCCAACGTGGGGCCCTCGACGGGTTTCGCGGGGAACTCGGATTCCGGGCCGGCGCCACTCCGTTATTCGGAGTAGCCCGGACCTAGATCTGCCCGCGACAGCTCACGAGGGCTAAGACAGGACTCAATATAAGGAAGTAGGGAAAACTCTAGTTCTTGGTCTGGGACCGCGAGCACCCAGCGGGGACGCCCGCCTGTTCACTAGTTGCGAGAAGCGACGCTGGACTGTATTGGGTGAGTAGACATAAGAACTTGGTAAACTGTGCTGTGGGACGGGGGCGAGAGACTCGTCTCCTGAATGAAAGAGAGGCTCCATACGGACGCGTGAGTGTGGATCAGGGTTCGACCCTGACGAGAGGATAAGCTTGCGGTTCCGTCTATCCCGCGAGGGAAGCGGCCAGGCGATTCCGTGCGACTGTGTGTGTGAGTGGAATTGGAGACATTGTAAACCATGGGCAGGAGTCAGAGTAAAAGACAGAGGGAAGAGAATGGGAAAAGCCCAATCGACGCTAATAGCCCGTTGGGCCAGGTGTTGATCCAGTGGGATGAGGACTATTTAAGGAAATTCACTAGGAGTTTGATGAAGGTGACTATGATTAACTTTTGCAGGAACATCTGGCCAAAATATCCAATAGGGCCAGAAGGTGCATATACTTGGGATCCAGAGGGGGAGACGGATAGGTACTGGATGACCCAGTTGAGGAATTATTTGATACTTAATAAGAAGGAAAAGGAGAAACCATATCTAGAGGTATGGTTCCACGCCCGGTTCTACGGACCGGATCCCCCGCCCGTTAGTCAGTTTCCCCTGAGGAAGAAGGAGGAGGATTCAGATGAGGAAACACGTCCTGCTCCCTCTGCCCCTCCCGTAGTTGCGCAACGGCCGCCAAGCCCGCCGGCACACCCGGCGGTCACGAGTCCCCCGGGTAATGCCCGGCTGGAGAGGGGTCAGACATCCCCGGGGAATCAGGACGCTGGGGAGGGAGTTAGTGGGAAGGAGCCGAATCAGGAAATTTGTTCACCGCCACCTTATCAACCACCGAGTAGGGAAGTGCAACAATTAGAGAGGGATATACGGAATCTCCCTTTCCCGGAGGGAAAGCCCCGCGGTTCCCCCTTGGTTGATGCATTCCGAATGTATAGAGGAAGGGAGGGTTGGGGACTCTCACGGACGGAGGACCCAGGAGACTCTCCCGTTCATACTTTCCCCCTTAGGGAGACCCCGGAGGGATAAATGCACAAGGAAATCCAGTTATGGTATATGTGGTCAGTCCCATCAAGCCATCAGAACTCAGGGAATTGAAACAGACACTGCCCAAATTGCATGAGAACAGTCAGGAGGTCGCGAACCTCCTCCAAATGTGGATGGGACCTCATATATACACATACACCGAATTGATGTATATATTGGGGCATTTGTTTACCCCAGAAGAAAAAGCAATGATTAGGAGGGCAGCAATGCAGTACTGGGAAGTTAAGGAGGATCAACGGGTCGCCGCGCCAGTACCGGGTCAAGGTGTACAACAGGTGGTTCCATCGGAGACCAAATTTCCCCTAGGGGACCCGAATTGGGACATAAACGATGCAAATCATCGGACTCATTTGATAGATCTGAAGGAGATGATTTTGGAAGGAATTAGACGGGCTGTACCCCAAAGCACCAATCTCACCAAAGCTTTTGAGGTCAATCAAATGAAAGAGGAGTCACCGGGTGACTTCATACAAAGGATTAGAGACCATTTGACTAAGTATTCAGGGGTGGCCCCAGATTCACCGGCGTTTGACAATCTGCTAAAGATGCAATTCGTAACCAAGGCATGGCCCGATATTCAAAAGAAATTGCAGAAAATGAACTGGCAAGACGCCGCCATCATAGATCTAGTAAGGACAGCGCAGCAGGTTTACGTCAACAGGGAGGCAGTAAAAAGTAAGCAGAAGTGCCAGATGATGGCGGCTACTTTGCAGAAAACTTGGGAAGTTCAGAAACAACAGGAAACCGAGGCTGCGAGAGGACGTGGGGGAGCCCCATATCGGGGAAGAGGGCGAGGGAGAGGGGGTTACACACCAGGTTCCAGTGTCATTTGTTATCGATGTAACAAACCTGGTCATTTTGCCCGAGAATGTCGGACCCCACGAGATCAGATACTGGAAAGAAATGAGCAAAGACAGGGAAGTCAGAGGCCAAGACAGACAGAAAGAGAGGGAGGAACTGACACCACTGAGTTGTTCAGTTTATATGATGAATAGGGAACCTCCGGCTCGCTCCATGGGGCCCGGAATGAGCCACTGGTGAACTTGTGTGTGGGGCCCTCTCAGAAATCAGTGGTTTTTCTGATAGACTCAGGAGCGACCCGGTCCTCTATATGTGTACCTGTTCCAGGGGTACGTAAAACAATGTCAAATTTGAAAGTAGTAGGGGTAAGCGGGAAACCAAAGGAAGTTGTGCAATTAGAAGAAACCATTATAAGAAGAGGAGACCGGATAGCTAAGGGATCATTATTATTCATCCCTGAGTCAGGAATAAATTTGTTAGGGCGAGATTTGATGGTAGAATTGGGATTTCAGTTATTGGATTTAGACTTAGGAACTCCCATGTACCCTCTGCAGATAGAGGATGAGGAACAAATAGACCCAATGGTGTGGGCAGATGGGAAGATGGTAGGGAGACTGGACATAGCCCCCATTAAGGTCACAGTAAAGCCAGGAATCACCCAGTCATGGACCCCCCAATACCCAATGACTAGGAAGGGGAGAATAGGGTTGCAGCCGGTGGTGAATGAACTGATAAAGCAGGGATTATTAGAACCCACCATGTCACCTTTTAATTCTCCTATCTTAGCAGTGCAAAAGAAAGATGGGAAATATAGAATGGTTGAGGACCTAAGGAACATAAACCAGATAGTGGTCCCCGTTTCCCGGTAGTACCGGACCCATATACTCTCCTTAGCCGCATTCCACCCACTACCCGATGGTATACCGTTATAGACTTAAAGGATGCATTTTGGACTTGTCCCCTGGACATTGAAAGCCGAGATCTATTTGCTTTTGAGTGGGAAGATGTGAACACGGGCAGAAAACAACAATATAGATGGACGGTCTTGCCCCAAGGGTATACAGAAAGTCCACTTCTTTTTGGGCAGGCACTAGGGGAAAAGTTAGCAGGTTTTACCACCACAGGCCCCAATAGCTTGTTGCAATATGTAGACGATCTGCTGATGATGGGAGAAAAAGAGAAAGAGGTTAGACAAGACTCTATAAGATTGCTGAATTGGCTGGGTAAGCTAGGGGTGAAGGTGTCTAAGGACAAATTACAGTTTGTACAGCGGAAGGTGAAATATTTGGGGCATTTGTTAGAAGGGGGAACAAGAAAATTGGATCCAGAAAGAGTCAAGGGGATCTTAGAATTACAACCCCCTAAGAACAAAACAGATGTGAGGAGAATGCTGGGACTCCTGGGATATTGTAGACTGTGGATAGACCAATTTGCCAAGCTGGTTCGGTTTTTAAACCAAAAACTAGTCGGAGACGGTGAAATAACATGGGGACAAGATGATGAACAAAGATGGGAAGAAGTAAAGAAAACATTAATAGGGGCCCCGGTCCTAGCACTACCGAACCTCCAACAGCCATTCCACTTATATGTAACCATCAGCTCTCAGACTGCTGTCGGAGTTTTAGCCCAAAAGAGGGGGGGGCGGTATCAGCCAGTAGCCTATCTCAGCAGAACCCTGGAGCCAGTAGTGCGAGCATGGCCCACGTGCATCCAGGTGGTGGCAGCAGCGGCTGAATTGGTAGTTGAAAGCAGAAAGCTAACTTTTGGAGGAGCCCTAATTGTTCATAGTCCCCATCAAATATCCACGGTGCTGACTGGGGCAGCCTCCACCTGGATGACGGATGGCCGCTTAACGCACTATGAAACAGTGCTAAGAACAAGCCCTGATATCACACTGGGAACTGATCGGAATCTAAATCCGGCAGAATTCCTGATAGGAGAAAGGAAAGAATGGGAACCGGATGAACACGACTGCTTGGGCACAATACAATTAATGGCAAAGGTCCGAGAAGATTTATCTGAAACCCCTTTAACAATGGGAGAGAGATGGTACATAGATGGGTCTAGTTATGTTAAGGAGGGAAAAAGGAAATCAGGATATGCTGTAGTCAAGGAGGATGGGGAGGTGATCGAAAGTGGGGCCTTGCCGGCGAATTGGTCGGCCCAGAAAAGTGAAATCATGGCCTTGACCCGGGCCCTCGAGTTGGCTAGGGGCCTGGAAGTAACCATATGGACCGATTCCCGTTATGCATGGGGTGTGGTGCATACTTTCGGGAGGACCTGGCGAGACCGAGGGTTCATTAAGGCAAATGGGAAACAGATAGAACACATGGCCTTGTTGGAAAGGCTGTTGGATGCCCTTACTGGACCAGAAAAGGTTGCAGTGGTACATATCCCCGCTCACACCAGGGGTACTACCCCTGAGGAAGCTGGAAATAGATGGGCTGATTTGAGGGCAAAAGAAGCCGCTAAGGGAGTGCCAAACGAGATAACAATACAGCAATGTACCCTGAGGGTGCCCATTCTTACCACGGCTGACACAGAGAATTTAACTTTCACCTCTCAAGAGATAGAATATATAACAAGAGAGGAATGGGAAAAGAAGGGTAAGGAATGGAGGACCCCAGAGGGACAAATAGTACTGCCAAAGACTGTAATGATGGGGATTCTAGAGAAGATACATGAGAGTGGACATTTCGGGACAGAGGCTATGGTTAACCTGGTGAAATCATTGTATTGGAGTAAAGATATGTGGCCCATGGCCCACTCCATAGCCTGGAAATGCATAATCTGTCACAAGGTAAATAAGGCCAAAGCGAAGAAAACAGAAAAAGGGGGAAGACCTCTAGCAGTATGGCCATACCAAAGAATACAAGTGGATTTCACAGAGCTACCAGAGAAGGGAGGTTATAAACATCTTCTGGTATTCAAAGATCATCTTACAGGATGGGTGGAGGCCTTCCCAAGTCGAAAAGCAACAGCACAGGTAGTAGTCAAGGCCATTCTGGAACATATAGTCCCCCGGTTTGGTATAATAGAAGCCATAGACTCAGACCGCGGCACCCATTTCACACAGAAGGTTCTACAGGAAGTAATGACAGCCCTAGGAATCAAATGGGACCTTCACACGCCGTGGCATCCAGAGAGTAGCGGGAAGGTGGAAAGGGCAAATGCAGAAATAAAAAACATTTAACTAAATTATATTTAGAAAATGGATTACCATGGACAAAAACCTTCCTTTGGCTTTACTAAGGATGCGTATAGCCCCCAGAAAGGACTTAGGGGTATCCCCATTTGAGTTGATGATGGGAAGACCATACTTGGCGCAACTAGGTCAACCGATGGTGGAGTTCAAAGACTTGTTCATTAGAAAGTATTTGCAATCACTCTCCCAGTCTTTGTTGTCTCTTCATAGACGCGGTATCCTGGCCCAACGCCCTCCGCTACTGGAGCAGCAACACAGTTTCCAGCCTGGTGACCTGGTCCTGATTAAGACGTGGAAGGCGGAAAAGCTCAGCCCGGGTTGGGATGGTCCATTTCGGGTCCTGCTTATCACCGAATCAGCAGTACGGACTCGTGAGTATGGATGGACCCACTACCACCGCGTGAAGAGGGCCCCGCCTGAACGTTGGACGGCCATACCGAGCCTAGACGATCCACTAAAAATAAGAATCACAAAATCAGGGACCGGGAACCAGGGAAGGACTGTAAGGCAATAACTAGAGCTCCAATGTGTTTATTCTGCACGTGCAAGTGTCTTTTCGAATGCTGTTGCTGTGCCCACTGTGAAGGGTGTGTCTGCTGTGTCCACTGCACGGAAGAGTGCAATCTCATGTGCATAGAGGACATAATACTCCAATACTGTACGATTGCACCGGGAGGGACAATTATATATTGCAGTTTAGTTCAGACCCCCACGGTGGTCCAGGCTCTCAGAGAGTTGGAAAACAAATAATATGAAAATAAGTTGGATGAGGGGATTTCTGTTAGGCCTCTTAACAGTTGGTGTGGTCCGGGGCTCCGCGGAAACGCTACAATGTACAGAATGTATTCAAGTCACAAAAACAGGGAACAAAATTACAAGGACCTTAATGTATTATAATGTAGCTCCAGAGTGCAAGGAGATACTAGACCCCTGTGTCCACAATCAGACCCAGTACTATAGATGTAAAACTGGAGAAAATAAAACAGAATGTTATGAACCTTTGGCCTTAGGACCCACCACCTCCACCGTTTACGTATATGGATACATAGGGGGAACAGTAGGGAGGCGGCAACAAAGATCGGTAGCATTCGCGTTGGCTCAGCAGAGGCAGGGGTATATAGCTCACAATGTGACCAGAGGGACTGCAACAATCCACGTATGTTTTGATGCTTGCACAGCTATAGCCAAAGGACAGGGACCAAACAACCAAGAAGGGGTGACCTGTGGATCCCATGGTTGGGAACAATCCTATCTAACAGAGAGTAAATATCTATTTCAGCGAATAAGGGGAGGCAACATAGGGGCAGGAGGAGGAATCGTGAACTATTGGTACACAGAAGGAGTGAGCTCCAACCCCACATATAAAGGTCCAGAAGGAATAAACATAACAAGGGAGGGAGCGTCCACTGACTGCAGCATAGGAAAATGCAACCCCATCTGTTTATGGGCTAGGGAGCTGCCTTCTACTACCCCCAAATACGTTTATCTTGGATTGGGAATAGACGGGGCCGGAAGAGATCCTTATGGGTATCTAATTATTAAAATACATACCACTAAAGTCAGTAAACAGCCAATCTCAGTATTTGAGAGTTTTGAGGAAGAAATACAACACTTAAATAGTTT